TTCCAAACAGCATTAAAATTTGTCTTTTTTCCTGGGAGCTAGAAAAAATGTAATTACACGAGAAGTTGTATTTTCCCTAGGAAAAAAGCGGGCGGAAAGGGAGACGGGGAAGGGGGAAGAGAGGGGGAACAGGAATGCGAAGGGGAAGAGGAAGCTCAAGAAGGAAATATGATTACCCACGCCAGCAGAGAGAGAGAGAACCTAAGAGAAACAGCTGTTCTCTCAGTGCGCATTACATTAATTTCCCGCATGCTGTTAAGCTGCACTTCCCCTTTCTTGTCCTTAGCAAGTATCGGAAGCTGAGCCAATAAGGACTGTTTATGATAAATCCTTTTCAAAATCTGATTGAGCCACTTATTACATGTTTTGCTGACACAGGGATGAGAGCAAGTGTTAAAAAAAGAGGCATAAAATTTATGCTAAAAAAAGCCAAGACCAAGACTGCAACAATCATATAGAAAATACAGAATCCAATAGAACGATTTTGGAACCGCATTCATTGAGAAATTATTTAACTAGTTTTTTCACTTCATAAGTTTTTGCAGCTCTGGAACTGAATCATCATGTCCGGTAAGCCAGCTTAGCATTGGTGCATTTCCAATGGATATGAGCCCATCATGATGTGTGCTACTCAGTTTTTATGAAAAAGAACGAAAGTGTGCATTACATGAATTACAAAAATCAAATTTGACCAAAATAATCTAGGGACGAGGTCGAGTGTAACAGTCACGGTTCATGGCAAAGAATTGAATATATTTTAATTACTATCATTCAATATTTAAGAATTAATGAACCGAAACCGTCTTTTTTATCGTATTTTTTAAAACAATCTTGTGTTTTTTAAATTAAAAGCCTTTCTGTGCTGTGTAGACCAGATATAAAATTTGCCGGAATTTTTTCTTTGTAAATTGCCTATCACCATCTTTTTCTTTTTCAAAAATTGCTAGATATGCCACATTACTTCCATCTGATAGTGCAAATCGAAAAAAAAAAGTCAGACCGAAGTGTCATCATCGTAGGCAGCTTTATCCTCCATTGCTACCTCCATGATATTGGTCTTGAACGGTGTATCCATGCCGCTCCGTTTCTTGGACATCACCGGTAGCGCTAATTTTGCACGATTGGTACTGAGTACGGTATACGATTTACCCAATCGTTTATGGGCTCCCAGTGAGGAACGCGCCCAGGCACGGCGATATGTTTCGGCATCCTAGAACATCTACATACTGTAGTAGTCAGTGATACGATAACCTCGGAGATTGTAGGTTCAAGACAGCCTTCGATGTCCTGAAGCTGAATTAACTGACAAACTAATACCATTTTCGAAAACAGCCGCGGACCGGCAGGGAATCGAGCCACTGCTCTTCACATTTAGACGCGACGTTGCTGATCACTACGTCACCGACCCCTGTGCTCCACACACTTATTTGCATGCAACTCCATACATGCCACTCTAAAGCAGCTGACACTCCAACCGTATGCGGTACACTTTCCAATTTTTGCCGGCTTTCCGTGGGAATTCCGCAACAAAAAGGTGGACATTTTGGAACTCAGGACCTTAACGACTGCTGTACCAAGCGTTGAAAAGCCAGAAAAAAATCGTTACAGTTTGATGCTTACAATAAAATCGAAGGGAGTCATCGAGAAGTGTGAAGCCAAAGAAACTTTGGCCCGAGTACGAGGATTTGCGACCAGCTTATCAACAGCCAA